ATTTAAGGACTGTTTAAATGAGCGACTAAGCTGCAGGTTGTCCTGATCACAGAATGGTGATCGTTTTTGTAATCGGATATATATTGGAGGAACTATGAGTCCCGAAAGATGGCAAAATGGGGAAAATCGCAAATTGACAACTTTTGAGGGGGACCCCTTGGAAAAATTTTGAAAAAATAGAAAACTGCATTTAAGGACTGTTTAAATGAGCGACTAAGCTGCAGGTTGTCCTGATCACAGAATGGTGTTCCTTTTTGTAATCGGATATAAATTAAAGGAACTATGAGTCCCGAAAGATGGCAAAATGGGGAAAATTGGAAATTGACAACTTTTGAGGGGGACCCCTTGGAAAAATTTTGAAAAAATAGAAAACTGCATTTAAGGACTGTTTAAATGAGCGACTAAGCTGCAGGTTGTCCTGATCATAGAATGGTGTTCCTTTTTGTAATCGGATATAAATTAAAGGAACTATGAGTCCCGAAAGATGGCAAAATGGGGAAAATCGGAAATTGACAACTTTTGAGGGGGACCCCTTGGAAAAATTTTGAAAAAATAGAAAACTGCATTTAAGAACTGTTTAAATAAGCGACTAAGCTGCAGGTTGTCCTGATCACAGAATGGTGTTCCTTTTTGTAATCAAATATAAATTGGAGGAACTTTGAGTCCCGAAAGATGGCAAAATGGGGAAAATCGGAAATTAACAACTTTTGAGGGGGACCCCTTGGAAAAATTTTGAAAAATAGAAAACTGCATTTAAGGACTGTTTTAAACCAGCGATTAAGCTGCAGGTTGCCCCGATCGCAGAATGGTGTTCCTTTCTAAAATCGGATATATATTGGAGGAACAATGAGTCCCGAAAGATGGCAAAATGGGAAAAATCGGTAATTTACTATTTTTGAGGGGGACCCCTTGGAAAAATTTTGAAAAAATTAAAAACTGCATTTAAGGACCGTTTTAAATGAGCGACTAAGCTGCAGGTTGTCCTGATCACAGAATGGTGTTCCTTTTGTAATCGGATATAAATTGGAGGAACTATGTGTCCCGATAGATGGCAAAATGGGGAAAATCGAAAATTGACAATTTTTGAGGGGGACCCCTTGGGAAAATTTTGAAAAAATAGAAAACTTCATTTAAGGACTGTTTTAAATGAGCGACTAAACTGCAGGTTGTCCTGATTACAGAATGGTGTTTCTTTTTGTAATCGGATATAAATTAAAGGAACTATGAGTCCCGAAAGATGGCAAAATGGGGAAAATCGGAAATTTAAATTTTTAAAGGGGACCCCTTGTAAAAATTTTGAGACATTGAAAACTGCATTAAAGGACTGTTTAAATGAGCGACTAAGCTGCAGGTTGTCCTGATCACAGAATGGTATTTTTTTTGTAATCGGATATAAATTGGAGGAACTATGAGTCCCGAAAGATGGCAAAATGGGGAAAATCGGAAATTTACAATTTTTGAGAGGGACCCCTTGGAAGATTTTTTAAAAAATTGAAAACTGCATTTATGGACTGTTTTAAATGAGCGATTAAGCTGCAGGTTGTCCCGATCACAGAATGGTGTTCCTTTCTAAAATCGGATATATGTTGGAGGAACTATGAGTCTTGAAAGATGGCAAAATGGGGTAAATCGGAAATTGACAATTTTTGAGGGGGACCTCTTGGAAAAATTTCGAAAAAATTTTAAGCTACATTAAAGGACTGTTTTAAATAAGCAATTAAGCTGCAGGTTGTCTTGATCACAGAATGGTATTCCTTTCTAAAATCGGCTGTATATTGGATCAAATATGAGTCTCAAACGATGACAAAATAGAGAAAATCGGAAATTGTTAATTTTTGAGGAAGACCCCTTGGAAAATTTTTTAAAAAATTGAAAACTGCATTTAAGGACTGTTTTAAATGAGCGATTAAGCTGAAGGTTGCCCTGATCAAAGAATAGTGTTCCTTTTTGTAATCGAATATATATTGGAGGAACTATGAGTCCCGAAAGATGGCAAAATGGGGAAAATCGGAAATTTACAATTTTTGAGAGGGACCCCTTGGAAGATTTTTTAAAAAATTGAAAACTGCATTTATGGACTGTTTTAAATGAGCGATTAAGCTGCAGGTTGTCCCGATCACAGAATGGTGTTCATTTCTAAAATCGGATATATGTTGGAGGAACTATGAGTCTCAAAAGATGACAAAAAGAGGAAAATCGGAAATTGACAATTTTTGAGGGGGACCTCTTGAAAAAATTTCGAAAAAATTTTAAGCTACATTAAAGGACTGTTTTAAATAAGCGATTAAGCTGCAGGTTGTCTTGATCACAGAATGGTATTCCTTTCTAAAATCGTATGTATATTGGAGAAAATATGAGTCTCAAAAGATGACAAAATAGAGAAAATCGGAAATTGTTAATTTTTGAGGAAGACCCCTTGGAAAATTTTTTAAAAAATTGAAAACTTTATTTAAGGACTGTTTTAAATGAGCGATTAAGCTGCAGGTTGTCCCAATCACAGAATGGTATTCTTTTCTAATATCGGATATATATTACAGGAACTATAAGTCTTGAAAGATGGCAAAACGGGGAAAATCGGAAATTGACAATTATTGAGGGGGACCCCTTGCAAAAATTTTGAAAAAAATGAAAACTGCATTTAAGGAATGTTTTAAATGAGCAATTAGGTTGCAGGTTGTTCTGATCACAGATTGGTGTTCCTTTACAAAATTGGATATGTATTGGAGGAACTATGAGTTTGAAAAGATGGCAAAGTAGGGAGAAACGGAATTTGAACATTTTTAAGGGGGACCGCTTGAAAAAATTTGGAAAAAATTTAAATCTGCATTTAAAGAATGTTTTAAATATGCAATTAAGGTTCAGGTTGCCCTGATCACAGAATGGTGTTTCATTCTAAAATGGGATATATATTGAAGGAATTATGAGTCGCAAAGGATGGCAAAATGGGTAGAAACGAAAATTGATTATTTTTAAAGGGAACCCCTTGGAAAAATTTTAAAAAAATTTAAAAATACATTTATGTACTGTTTTAAATAAGGGATTTATGTTCATGTTGCTTTCATCATATAAGGGTGTTCTTTTTTGTAATCAGATATGCATTGGAGAAATTATGAGTCTTGAAATATGGCAAAATGGAAAGAATCGAAAATTGACTATTTTTAAGGGCACTCCTTGGAAAAATTTTGAAAAAAGTAATAAATACATTTAAGGACTGTTTTAAACAAGCAGATAAGCTTTAGTTTGCCCTGATCACAGAATATTGTTCATTTTTCTAATCGGATATAATTTAAAGGGACTATGAGTCTCAAACAATGGCAAAATTGGGAAAATTGAAAATAGAATATTTTTAGAAGCACTAATTAGAAAACATTTTGACAAAATGAAAATATACATTTAAGGACTATTTTAAATAACCGAATAAGCTTCACTTTTCTTTGAGCACAGAATGGTGTTCCTTTTTAAAATCAGATATACAAAAAAGAACTATGAGTCTTAAAAAATGGTAAAATTAGCAAAAATTTAAATTTGATTAATTTAAAAGGTTTTCCTTGACAAAATTAAAAACAAATTTATAACTACATTTAGAGAATCTTTGAAATAAAGAATTAAGCTTCTAAACGCTTTGGTTACAAAATGGCGGTCGTTTTTATAATCGGATAAGAAACAAAGAAAATATGAGTCTCAATCAATTGTAAAATGGAGAAAATTAGAAATTGGTATCTTTTAAGAGCTACCCCTTGAAACAATTTTGAAAAAATTAAAAATAATACCTCTTAAATAAAGAATTAAGCTTATGACTGCTATAAACACTAAATGATGTTCATCTTTGGAGTCGAATATGTATAAAAAGAACTATTAATAAGGAATTAAGAAACATTAAGTCTCAAAGGTTGGAAAAAATAAAAAACGAAAGTTGACAATTTTTAAAGGGGAAATCTTGAAAAAATTTCTATAAAATTTTAAGCAACATTTCAGAAATGTTTTAAAAACGGCATTTTGCATTTAGATGCTATAATTACAAAATGATGTTGCTGTTTGGAAACAGATATACCTGGACCAACTATAAGTCTCCAAACGTGGCAAGAAGAAAAAAATTAGAAATTTATGGCGTTTTAGAATGATTCCTTGGAAAATTTTACAAAAAAATAGGAAAAAACTTTTTAAAATTTTTTTTATTAAAGAAATAAGCTGTTAAATTTTTTAATAACATAATGGTGTTTTTTTTTTGGACTTGGATATGAATTAAAATAAAAATAACTTCTAAAAGACCAGCCAAACAAAAAAATTATAAATTGTAAATTTCTAAAGGTTACTTGTTGGAAAAATTATATTATTATATAAATTTAACATGGGCATCAATTACCAAAAATACAATAAACAATATAAACAAATACGGCGATCGCTTAGCCACATTCACATAACGCAATTCAAAAATGTGAAGTTTCCGGTGAATTGCCGGTAAAGTCACTTTTTCCTGTATTTTTTCATTACATTTTAGTTTTACAGTTCTCTGTTAACATCGATATAAAAAATTTCAAAAATCATGATATCGATAAATTTAAAATAACTCCCCACTAGCAACAAAAGTCCATCTCAGGAGCCGATGTACCATCGCTCTCTACTTCATCCATCTCTAGGAGTAGGATTTTTTAGTATTTTAGTTTTAACATTCTCTGGTAACATTAATATAAAAAAAGTACTAAAAAATAACTTGCCATCGATAACTTAATACTAATTCCCTGCTGGTATTAATATACCATCTAATAAACAGATGTGCCATCTCTAGGGGTGTGCCATCTTTCTTTACTAATACCATCTCTAAGAGTAGGATTCTTTTAGTATATTTTAGTTTTAGCATTTTCTGGTAACATTATATAAAAATGTATTAAAAAATAATAACATCGATAAATTTATACTAGTTTCTTGCTGGTATTTTTGTACCATTTAAGGTACCAATGTGCCATCTCTTTGGAATATTACCATCACTAGTTTTAATACATATTTTCTTAGCGTGGGCGAGGAAAGACGTGCCAATAGGAGCGCAGCGGCAATCAACGGATGTTAACAGGTAAGTTAAATATAAAGTGGCTGCTCCTATTCCTGCTTTTTAAAAAGAAAAGTAGTCGTCATTTATGTGCATTATAAATACATTTAACAAACATTTTTTTGTTTTAGGTAGTGTCAGGGAAGAAGACGGCGTCGTCATGGCAACGGCGCCGCAGCATTGTCGCCGTGTAAACGGTGCCGCAGCAGAGCAAAAAAATACGGCGCCACAACCGATGCCGCGAGCAACAAAAAACGGCAACATAGCCAACGGCGCCAGCGATGAAATACGGCGGCAAAACCAAGCCGCAGCTAAAAGAAACGGCGGCAAAAACCAAAAGCGCCAGCGACGAAAAACGGCGGCGTAACAAAAAGCGCCAAACATTTATATGGTAAAAAGCGGACGCAGAAAAAAATGGTAAGCATTTTTTTTTAAATTTTCGTCGTCATTATCTTATTCTTTATTTTATTTTAGATGACGGCGTCGTCATAGCAACGGCGCCGCTGCAACGCTAAAAAATACGGCGCCATCAACGAAAAACGGCGGCACATACAATGCCGGCAGCGACAACGGCGGCATAACCAACGGCGCCATGCATTCATATAATATGAAGCGGTGGCAAAAAAAAATGGTAAGCATTTTTTATATATTTATGTCTTCATCTTCTAATTTTTTTTTCTTTCATTTTAGATGACGGCGTCGTCGAAGCAACGGCGCCGCAGCAGCGCTAAAAAGTACGGCGCCATCGACAAAAAACGGCGGCACATTTAATGCCGGCAGCGAAAACAAACGACGGCATAACCAACGGCGCCAAACATGTATATGGTAGGAAGCGAAGGCAAAAAAAATTGGTAAGCATTTCTTATGAATTTACGCCTTCATCTTCTTATTTTTTTTTTCTTTCATTTTAGATGACGGCGTCGTCGAAGCAACGGCGCCGCAGCAGCGCTAAAAAGTACGGCGCCATCGACAAAAAACGGCGGCAAATTCAATGCCGGCAGCGAAAAAAAACAACGGCATAACCAACGGAGCCAAACATTTATATGGTAGGAAGCGAAGGCAAAAAAAATTGGTAAGCATTTCTTATGAATTTACGCCTTCTTCTTATTTTTTTTTTCTTTCATTTTAGATGACGGCGTCGTCGAAGCAATAACGCTGCAGCATTGTCGTCGTGCCAACGGCGCCGTAGCAGCGCTTAAAATTACGGCGCCAAAGCCAAAAAGCGGCAGCGCAACCAATGCCGGCAGCCACAGAGAACGGCGTTAGCGACACAAAACGGCGGCAGCGACAAGCATCGGCGGCGTAACAAATAGCGCCAAATATGTACATGGTACAATGCAGACGCAGACAAATACGGTGAGCATTTCTTTTGAATTTACGTGTTAATTTTCTAATAATGTTTTTTATTTTAGGCGCCGCATTGCTGCCAACAGACGCAGGGTACACACAGTATCCATGGCAGCGCTCGTCAACAAGCTCCTATTGGTAAGTTTTTTTTTTTTTTTTTTTAATTCTCCCTTCCACTAGTCAATTATTTTTTTCTTTTTCATTTTAGCTGCTCAGTTATTGGGAAAGAAGAAGGAGAGCCCGCGTCGTCACATCATCGCTGGAAGTCGTCGTCGTTGGATGGCTGCAGGCATTGGTGCTGGGCCGTGCGATCGTCGAGGGACAGCCGGCGCCATCGTTGCCTACCCAGGCATGGTGTCGGTGGCTGCAGCAGGGCTGCTGTATTGCCCCACTAGCAGGCCAGCAAGGGCAAGGAGCCGTCATCGATGGATCAGGATCTCAACAGGAGTAACGGGGTTGGATGAGGTACGTGGTGTGTTTATTTTTATTGGATTATTTTATATTAATGTTGCCATTTTCTAGGAACTTCTATTTTGCTGGAAGCCGCGTGGTGTTGTGCTGTGGCCAAACAAATGGATGCAAGTTGGCCATCCAAGTGGCACTCAGGATGCAAGGAGAAACGAAGGAGTATTCTAAGGAGGCATCAGCAGGACCCAAAGGGGGAAAGGCACCCTCCAACGATGGATCCCAGCATCGGATCCCTAAGGAGCCACCATCAGGACCCAAAGGGGGAAAGGCACCCTCCAACGATGGATCCCAACATCGGATCCCTAAGGGGCCATCAGCAGGTCCCAAAGGGGGAAAGGAACCCTCCATCGATGGATCCCAATATCGCGGGGTATGGATGGATGCAAGTTGGCCATCCAAGGGCCACCCAGGATGCAAGGAGAAACGACGGTGTTTTCTAAGGAGCCATCAGCAGGACCCAAAGGGGGAAGGCACCCTCCAACGATGGATCCCAACATCGAATCCCTAAGGGGCCATTAGCAGGACCCAAAGGGGGAAAGGCACCCTCCAACGATGGATCCCAACATCGGATCCCTAAGGAGCCATCAGCAGGACCCAAAGGGGGAAAGGCATCCTCCAACGATGGATCCCAACATCGCGGGATATAGGACCCAAAGGGGGAAAGGCACCCTCCAACGATAGATCCCAACATCGGATCGCTAGGGGCTATCAGCAGGACCCAAAGGGGGAAAGGCACCCTCCATCGATGGATCCCAACATCGCGGGGTATGGATGGATGCAAGTTGGCCACCCAAGAGCCACCCAGGCTGCAAGGAGAAACGACGGAGTATTCCTAAGGAGCCATCAGCAGGACCCCCAGTGGAAAGGCACTCTCCAACGATGGATCCCAACATCGCGGGATATAGGACCCAAAGGGGGAAAGGCACCCTCCATCGATGGATCCCAACATCGCGGGGTATAGAAGCGGCACCGCCCTAAGGATCTTTTCCCATTTATTTTGTTTATATTTGTAATTGTACTTGTATTTTAGCGGGTTAATACAGTTGGTGGCTGCTGTTGCCGGCCAGAGTGGGAGTGGGAATTTGGGGTAGATTTCAGGGGGCGGGACCATTTCATAGAAGGATGACCCCAATGTAGATCCAGACCCCGAGATGGACACCGGCCCCAAGAAGCACGACATTGCGCTTCGAGATGCGATGGATGGCAACGCTGGCAAATGGATGGATTCATTTTATCTTCCCTGTTGCTATGGGCGACTAGACCGACGCTGCCCCTGAAGTCGTGTTACCCCTTCTCCGCCCATCCTCTCTTCACTTCTTGCTAAGTCAGCCACAACCCATAATTACTTATGTGGCCCTCGTTGCAGTTGCAACATCCAGCGGGGCTGCTTCCTTTATGTAGAAGTATGGCGCCTTCATGCATAGTGGGCTTCTACACCCGTCTTTGGTGTCCCCATATTGTTGGCACCGGTAGCACTGGAGCAACATTCGCCTCCGTTTGTGCCCGGTGTACCTATGTGGCCGACTTATGCATCCGGCAAGGAGGGCGCAATGGAATCATCAAGATTTCTAGCAGACTCTCGTCTCGGAGCAGCGGTCCCATTTTGTTTGCTTGGGGTATCCATTGTTTTGTTCTTAGGTGTTTGCGATAATGCCTTGAGTAGGGGCAATTCCAGCCAAAATTTATATAAAAGGCGCGTAGTTGTATGTATTTTAGTGCATGTATGTATCATAGGTCTTAGTGCCAGTCATCAGTGTCCATATTGTACATTAATTTTAACATATCATATCACATTCATTGAACTATTAACATCAATCTTATCTCACTTTAATTAATAAACTGGTACTACATTTATATTTATTTATTTAGTCGCCAACGGATAAATCCTTACATGGCTACAAAATAACAACTTACAAACTAATAAAAAATAGTACAATACTAATAAGAACTTAATAACTGCCTGATTAGTGGATTTTTTGTATTTAACCGTGACGTGTTTTACATATTATAGGTCTTAGTGCCAGTCATCAGTGCCCATATTTACATTAATTTTAACAATCATACCACATTCATTGAACTATTAACATCAATCTTATCTGACTTTTATTAATAAACTGGTAGTACATTTATATTTATTTATTTATTTCGCCAACGGATAAATCCTTACATGGCTACAAAATAACAACTCAAAAACTAATAAATAATAGTTAAATACTAATAAAAACTGAAACTGCCTGATTAACAAGCGTTTAAACACAACCTTATCAGAGCCCCACTGAATTCGGAGGCTAGGCGGCAAAGAGTTAAAATAAGAAAGAGACCGCTCAATCGGCTCGTTTAAAAGGTAATTGGCCCTGTGACACTTGATCCGAAAGGGGGCAAAGGTACGAAGATCCCTTTGAGGAACATTAAAATTAATGAGTTCCAGTAAAAACGGGCAATCAATGTTATCAGCGACTACATTGTTCAAAAAATTAAAGCTGCCCGTGTACGCCGATCCCCCAAAGTGCAAACATTGAGAAGAAGGCAGCGGCTCCGGTATAAAGGTAAAGGATCCTGAAACCTTAGAGGCAGAAGAGCAAAGTTTAAGAATTTCTTCTGGTGTCGCTCAATTCTGTTGGAACGAACTATACAAGCTGGATTTCAAATGATTGAGGCATATTTCAGCCTCGGCCGAATAAATGCAGCGTAGACGCTGAGGCTCGAGTGTGGACTTTGGAATTAGTTAACATGCCTCTTCAGAAAGCCCAGCATAGCATACTTTTTAGGCAGAATATAGTCTAGTGACCAGAAAATTTAAATTTGGTGTCGAATAAGACACCAAGATCTAACATCTCCTCTTTAGCTGCCAAACTATAATTATTGATGGAATAACCCGTGCAGATTTCAGGAGACCGCTTACTGTAACAGGTAAACAGATACTTAGATAAATTTAATGGAAGAAGATTACGGGAGCACCATGAGTAAACTCTGGATATATCCTCCTCTAACAAGTAACTGTCACTAATGCAACTAATGGCTTTAAAGATTTTAGGGTCATCCGCATACATTAGGAAGTAGGAATGACGAAAGCATGAAGAGATGTCATTAATGCAAATAATAAATAGAAGAGGTCCTAGAGAGCTGCCTTATGGAATACCAGAGGAGGTGACAAATGGACTTGAGATAGGACATGAGGAACGGACTTCAGAAACGTGGAAACGATCAGCCAGATAAGACTCAAACCAACTTAACAGGCAGAAATGAATACCTAATTTATATAATTTGGCCAAAAGGGCTTTGGAGAAGTTGGTGTAAAAGGCATCAACCTGAAGTCGGTTTCCAAAAGTTTCAAAGCAGTGCTTAGAGAAAAGACAACTAAAGTTTTAGTGGACCTCTTATAAGGCAAGAAACCATATCTGGTTGGGGGATATAAAATTACGAGGCAAAAATGTCAATTTTTTAGTCACTTATCCGTTACCGAACTTAGCAAGTTAATTTTAACCATAGGTGGATAGTTGGTAACAGAAACCTACTGCCAACCACTTTTTTAATAGGCATTACAGAAGTAATCTTCCACTGCCCCTGACCACCTACCAATTAATTTAACAAGAAAAAGGACATTTTATAATTTGATTTTTAACAAGAAAAGAAAAGGGGAGAGGACGCTGCCCCCGCCGCGCTTTTGCCAATACTGTGTCAGATGGGGAAAGCATTTCTCATTTCCAAAAAGGAGGGAACACAATGTCACAATGTTTAACATACAGTTTTTAACATATTTAATAAACTTCATTTAACAATAGACTTGACTGTGATACATTAATTTAACAAGAAAAAGGGACATTTTATAATTTGGATTTTAAACAAGGAAAAAAAGGAGGAAACACAATGTCACAATGTTGAACATACAGTTTTTAACATATTTAATAAACTTCATTTAACAATAGACTTGACTGTGATACATTAATTTAACAAGAAAAAGGGACATTTTATAATTTGGAAGAAAAAGGGGAGGACCCAAAGGAGGAAACACAATGTCACAATGTTTAACATACAGTTTTTAACATATTTAATAAACTTCATTTTACAATAGACTTGACTGTGATACATTAATTTAACAAGAAAAAGGGACATTTTATAATTTGGTTTTAACAAGAAAAAGGGAGGATTTTTTTGGGGAAATTTTCTTTAAAAGGAGGAAACACAATGTCACAATGTTGAACATACAGTTTTTAACATATTTAATAAACTTCATTTAACAATAGACTTGACTGTGATACATTAATTTATTACAAGAAAAAGGGACATTTTATAATTTGGTTTTAACAAGAAAAAAGGAGGAAAAAAAGGAGGAAACACAATGTCACAATGTTTAACATACAGTTTTTAACATATTTAATAAACTTCATTTAACAATAGACTTGACTGTGATACATTAATTTAACAAGAAAAAGGGACATTTTATAATTTGAGAGAAAAAAAGGGGAGGACTTTTATGGGGGGGGGAATTTTTTTTTCAAAAGGAGGAAACACAATGTCACAATGTTGAACATACAGTTTTTAACATATTTAATAAACTTCATTTTACAATAGACTTGACTGTGATACATTAATTTAACAAGAAAAAGGGACATTTTATAATTTGGTTTTTAACAAGAAAAAAAAGGGAGGACCCCCCCCCGCTTTTTTTCAATTTTTTGTGGGGGGGGGGGAAATTTTTCTTTTCCAAAAGGAGGAAACACAATGTCACAATGTTGAACATACAGTTTTTAACATATTTAATAAACTTCATTTTACAATAGACTTGACTGTGATACATTAATTTAACAAGAAAAAGGGACATTTTATAATTTGGTTTTTAACAAGAAAAAAGAGAGGAAAAGGAGGAAACACAATGTCACAATGTTGAACATACAGTTTTTAACATATTTAATAAACTTCATTTTACAATAGACTTGACTGTGATACATTAATTTAACAAGAAAAAGGGACATTTTATAATTTGGAGAAAAAGGAGGAAAAGGAGGAAACACAATGTCACAATGTTGAACATACAGTTTTTAACATATTTAATAAACTTCATTTTACAATAGACTTGACTGTGATACATTAATTTAACAAGAAAAAGGGACATTTTATAATTTGGAGAAAAAGGAGGAAAAGGAGGAAACACAATGTCACAATGTTGAACA